AGGCTCTTAATTAGCAGCTGCAGGAGGCGGTGAGGTAAGCATTGCCTTGACAAGTATGCTAATTACTAGCGTATACTAATTACTAGCGTGGAGGCACGGGCCGAGCTTCAGCCCTGCTATCAGACACAATCAGACCGAGGCAGATCAGTTCTGCCCCACTTACCCTACTGGGACCATCGCTGCTCCTGCTTTCTCCGTGTGCCGAGGAGAGGAGGATGGGTTTAGAGAAGTAAATATGAAAATGAAACGAGGGTTTCAGGCAGCGGCAGAGATTTGCAGAGCTGTCCTCTGGCGTCTAACGGCCTCATCCATCACGGCCCGCAAGTACTCCGTTCCTCTGCTATCTGTAAATGTTTTTAGATATTAGCCAATTTATATGCTCCCAGATTCATCATGGAAAATCAGCTTTAGCAGGGGCGCATCATCAGCGAGCGCCGCATCATGAGGTTTGATGGACGATTGCGTCGCTGGCGCCGAGGAGGGAGGCGTCTTGATTATAACCGTAAGAAGAAGGATTTTTAATTAATAAACAAGCTCCGGGGCTCATCAGCGTCAGAGGCGATAGCGCTCGTCATCCGTTATGTTTTTATGACGATCAATGATCTGATGATGGTTTCTCCTCTTGCCGGAGAGGTTGGGTGGATTCATCATCTCATCAGAGGTTGTTAAAGGTGGCTGTGGTTTTGGTAAACAACTCCCGTCTTTCCTCTTTCGTATCCCCCTCCTCCGATAAGGACTGAATTTATGTCGACACGGGACAATTACATTAGATTGGCGGTGTGTTTACAGTGTTGTGTTGGTAGGCGTCTTTAATAAATGTATGCTGATGCTGCGCAGATCTTCGGCTCTGTGGTTATTTACTGCGCCGTGTGTTCGCAAATGGCATTACGCCCCGGTGATGAATGAGCGTTAGAGTAAACTCATTTTAAAAGTGGCCTGATTTATGATCTCTCTGGCCTCCATTTTCATCAGGTCATTGCTTGGCTGAAACCCCACAATGTCATCCGCAAGGTCACCCCTTTTTACGATTCTTCGTAACCCGACGGACGCCCGGATGGACGGGCCGGCGGTGTGAAGCAGGTGGTGGTGTGTGATGTGTGAAATGCGATGGTGGTCAACCTCCAATTACGAGAGCTGGTAAGACAAGGGCTTTAATGGCCTCTGTTTGCCTTCGGGGAGCTCTATTACACACTGCTGTTTTGCAGGACCAGCATCAAATCTATAAAAGTACCATTAAGAGGAAAAAATCAATCAAAATGCCATTAAAGTGGAATAAGTTGCCAATATTGCTGATGTGGTTGCGGCTTCTTTGATTTTCCCTCAGATTATTAGGCGCAGCGGCGTAGTGACTTTGTTAAGGGAAACGAGTGTTGTTGGGGAGTAATATGTCTCCCGGCTTCATAAAGTTTGCGGCCTCATATTTCCCTCTTTATTGATTATCCATTATCATTTGTCATGAGGTGTCCTAACTCAAGGGGAAATATAGCTCTCTTCATTGCCGAGCGGAGCGCCGTATGGATCTGCGCGTGAAGCTATAGCAATCTGGGAGAAAAATGAGCTGAAAACAAGGCGCCGCCGGTGTAGAGATGCTGACTTGGCTTTGCTCTCTCTTCTGTTCTCCTTCAACAGAGCTAGCGTTTGCTCTCCTCCTTACGACACGAGAGAGAAAACCTCTGAGGTGCAGCCGCTGAAGGAGGCGATGATGAGTCTATAGAGCTCAGTTCTGTACGTGCTGTCCGTAAAAAACATGGCTGTGACGTTGACGTTTCTGAAGAGCGGTGGATCCGGCCGTCGCCATCTTGGCAGCTGTACAACACTGGACAACCCAAAATGGGCCACGAGACTGATTAGCTGAGGAGACTTGACGCTAACACACAGCAGACAAACGGCTAGACGTGACATCAGCAGCAAACCACCTGTCACTCAAGTGGCCACGCCCTTATTTATGCAAAACTTGAAGGCTTCATATAATTTAAATGGATGAGTAAAAAAAAAAAAAAAATTCGCCCCTCTCACAGTCGTCATGAAGGAAACAATCATCTATATAGACCAAAACACCTTTTTTTCTGCTGTACAGTTTTGGGCATTTTAACATGCGGGTCTATGGGATTGAGTCTCTTCTGCAGCGCCTCTAGTGGCCGTTCGATGAACTGCACTTTAAGCCACTTCCGTATTGGATTCAAGCGAGCGAACGAAAGGCTCCGGCTTGATGCCGTCGCATTAGCAAATTTACAGTCAATTCACATCCATTGTCAATAACGTAGAAATTTGAGCCAGACCGATTTATCGGCAGGCCGATATTATCGGCCGATATTAGGCATTTTCCAAACTATCGTTATCCAACATGACATCATGACTTTTGCGTAAACATACACGCCACTTTCGAGTCAAGTGGCGTGTTATCTCCATGCATTTTGAGCCATCCGCGTGTATGCGTGTATGTCTACGCCATTAACGTCAGAGTGATTCCGCGTGTCTGTACACGCCGTCAAATGTCCGAGCGAAACGAAGTAAAATGTAGATCTACATCTGGGGAGCGATCTTTTTTTTTCCTAGGATGGTAAGGGAACAGTCATAAATGCCATTAACCCCAGTGACGGTTAGGTTTAGGGACGGGGTTGAGGTAAGTCATATATTTATATAACGTTAAGTCAACGGCGTTCATAAACACGCTGAAAAGCGATTATGCGTCTTGATAGCACGCCAAAAATGGAAATACGAATTGGCGTGTCATACACGCGTTACTTCATGAGATCAGTCTGCGGTATCGGCAGTTATAATGGCCGATAAATGAATATTTCAAAAATAAAATAAAAACGGACTAAACACGCTTGAACCATGTCATGAGTGTTGGAGTTGTATAGTTTGTCCACCAGAGGGCGCTCTATACACCTTTCCTGTTGGCAACATAACGTGCCACACATCCTGCAACCTGCTGATCCAGTTTGCAGGTATGTAGCAATGTAGGGACTAATTCTTATTTTATTTATCAGAACTTTAATATATTTTAATATACTAACTTTAATATAAACAAGTTTCTTTTTAAAATGCATTATCATATTATTTTAGTTAAAACTCATAAATAACTACAAATAACTAATGTTAGGAAAATCTGTTAATGTTTTGTTGCGCGTTTCTGTGGAAAAAAAAAATATCGGCCGATATATCGGAATATCGGATTTTAAAACCAACAAATATTTGTATCGGTATCGGCCTTCAAAATCCTTTCGGACTCTAGTAGAAATGTGTGATAAGTCCCTTTAACCCAATCTGCTTTCGGTCCGAAATCTGCGAGAAACTCCCGATCGTGAGCATAACAAATTAATATATTTCTGGCCAAATCACTTGAGGCTCAGACCTTTACGACAATGTTTTGTCAAGAAAAAGGTTTTGATCATAAATTATGAAACAAAAGAGGGAGGAGCCCAATAAAATAATTAAGAGTACTGTTTCTATGGTAACGCATCGTCCAATTTCAAAATGGTTTACACAGGATGAAATCTGAGTTCGGGAGCTTTCGAATGGTACCTAATTTATGATGATTACTAAAATAGGCGATAAAAAATATGTATTAAGAGTATTACATATATTGTACTTTTTAGAGGATAATATTATTCTATACATTTTTATGGACAAATACTAGAATATGTTTTATTATGAACTTTTACCATGAAAACCAAAAGTTTCAGTTATTAAAAGTGTGTGCATCGAGTTTTTGTGACGGGTCAGAACTCGTGTTATGATGTCGATTTGTTTGAGGCGCACTCTTGTCATAAATTCATCCATTATCGTTCCTACATAATAAAAAAAAACACAGTGCTAAAATATATATTTCGGAGTCTTAGACCTTTCCAACCATTAATAGTTTGTCGTGATTGGATTATGATTTAATTGTAATTTAGTGAAGTAAACTGGCGTCCTGCTGGCGGGACGGTGGAAAATGGCCATGAATAAACACAATTATGGCTTTTATTGTGCACAAACCTACATTATACTTCAGGGAATACAATGAAATGCTTCTTGATTATCACCCTTTGAAATATCCTTTATTTAACATCACCACCTGTCTGAGCCGAACAAGGCCTCATATTTCCCATCATGCACTGGCTAGTGTTTGGTCTTACTGTCATGAATCTCTCTAGATACTCTCTTAGAGGGGTGGTGGATCATGATTTGGCTTTTCCAGCTGTAGTTAGTGTGTAATGTAGAGTTACGACGCTCACAGTTCAGAGCAAAGGGAGAGATTTGCTTTTACAGAAATCGTTTTTTAAGGACTACAACAAACGGCTGGTAGGGACTACACAAGCTTCCTCCCGGGTTAGTGACATCACCAACTCTAACATTTACATAAACCCCGCCCCCTGAACCCGCCCATGTTGAGGATAGGAAGAGCTGTTGTAGTCGAGCACATTTGTAAGTCAGCTCAAGCTGTCGCATCTGTCTTTCACGTGCAATAGAAAGTCACTCTGTGTGCATCATCAGTTCCTATTATGACAGAATATGCTAATTGAAGATAGTTAACTCAATATCTGCAACATAAAGTCTTCAACTAACCATTCAGAGACGTCCTGTAGCTTCTACTTGTCGTCACTTCTTCTGAGTCTCCAGTTTAAACATAAAAGGCAGAACAGTTTCAGACATTTTAGTGTGTGTATGTGTGAGGTAATCAGAGACACACACACAGGTGCTCTTGTAGCTCCGCCCCCTGTGCCGAGAGTAGCAGCTCATTTGCATTTAAAGGGACAGACACAGAACGGTGTGTTTTTGCTCACCCTCACAAAGTGACAACTTTAACAAGCTATATAAAATATCTGTGGGGTATTTTGAGCTTCACACACACACACACTCTGGGCACATCAGGGATGTATTTTACATCGTGTAAACCAATAGGTGGAGGAGTTTAATAATAGGTTGCATCTTCATCGATTCCTGCTCAAATCCATCTGAACTCTGACCTTTCGTCTGGAGGTGTGTAACGCATGTGTTTGTGTGTCCATCAGCAGCATCCAGACTCGTCCTCAACAACATGCTGCGCGAGCCCCATCTGATCCCGGACCTGCTGTTAGCCAAGCACGTCGAGCAGGTACTAGCGCTCAACAAACATCATTAGCAAAATGTTCACATTGCTCTTTACTAGTGTCGTCAAATGTACAGATACTTCGGTACCGAGTCGAAACTTAAAGTCCCCCTGTATCCTTTAAAACTCATCTTTGATCACCAAAATTACATTCATGTCTTAAAATATCTTGAGTGTAACTCGATACCCTTGCCTCATTTAGTATGTGTGGATCTATGAATATGCAAATGAGCCCCGCCTCCACTCTGGCGCTGGTTGACGATCACTCGTTGATCTGATTGGTTACAAGGTGGTTTGTGACGTCAGAAACACCAGTGTGTTTTTGAGACTGTCTTTGGTTCACTGCAGTTTTAAGGAGGAAATACTCTTATCCAATTATCAACTTACACATGGTGTGTGTTAAAGCGTATTAAACACATCACATACACACATACACAACATTAAACGCTGGATTTACACCACAGGGGGACTTTAAGTTTGAAAAGAATAAAATGTGTTTTTTGCTTTGAGCAGCCAATCACAGACATGGTTGTTAAGCATGTGAACGCGACAGCCAATCAGAGGCTGTTAGTCAGAATCCTAAACTTCAACAAGCACGAATGAGATTTAAAAGTTCTGATTGTTTGGTAAGACTCTGCCAATAATGACTCTGTGTACATTCGTTATACTCCTTTTATCTGCAATTGGCTAACGGTCTTTAGTTTGTGGCCCAAGAAGCAATGGGAGATTTTTAGGAAATTGTACAAACTCAGATGTTCTCGCGCTGCAGTGCATGCTGGGAGTGTGTAATGGATGATGAGGGGACTGTAATATTTCTTGTGTTTTCAGTGCACAGTAAACGACTGCTGTTATGGACCGCTGGTCGACTGCATCAAACAGTATCCTTCCCATAAAACCTTAAGCCTGGAATTGACGAGGGGCTGTTCACAGGGACGGGATGCGCAGAGCTTCACCTGACATAAAACTCACGCTCGGGGTGTGTGTGTGTGTGTGATTTCCTAACATATGCAGGCTTATATTTTAGCACGTGCAGATTTTATCTTCATCACCGTTGGTTCAGATGTAGTTTCATACCTCACATTTATTTCACTTCCAACACTTTCTATTCAGCAAATTTGACTGAATACAGATGATTTCAGAACTTTGGATTTCATTTTGTTGATTATTTACCATTTGGTTTGTAATTCTCATATGATTTTAATCCCGTCCGAATCGGAGAAGTCTGTGATTTTTGGTGAACTCACCGACTGTCCCGTCCGAACGTGATTGATTAATTATTACAGCCTGTTTTTGACTGTGTTTTGGAGGATCATTGGACTAGTTGATTAATACATTTCTGCTTAAGCTTTACTGAAATTAGTTGTGGTGCAAAACAAAACTATTGAAACACTTCCATTCAATTGAAATAAAGCTGAAAGAAAATAAATTGGAAAAAAAAAAATTAAACCTAAATATTTCTCTAGTAAAATGACAAAATAACAAAAATGAAAATAGTATACATAAACAAAAATTGACATGAAAACTTAAAATATAAGAGTATTTTTATTACAAGAGACTATTTTTAAATATTGAATAAAAATTTTTCAATAAGTTTTTTATTTGGAAATAAAATTAAATAATTAATTAAAAGTCATATGTGAGGCATGCAACCAAAGCACATGACCTGCTGATACACCCATTTCTAAAAACACACTCTTCAATCTCTCCAATAGTCTCTCCGTGCATCCTTAACATGCTCAGGAAGTTTTGTAACAGACAGCGAGTTGAGGTTTGTGCTCTTCTCAGACTCCTCTGTGTGTGTGTAGTCAGGGGTGAAGGGTCACAGGGTTTGTCTGTCCATGGTCACTCAACCCCATCTTCCCCCAGTTCTTTTCAGGCGTCAGCATTAACTCACTCTCTGCATCTGTGCGGTCCATCGTATCGCCCACTGCACCGCCCCGTCACACACACACACACACACACGTTTCAGTTTATCCGTTTATTGCCTGATGTTTTGGCTGCATGTGTTCTACATGCTACTGTTGCCTTTAATTCAATTCACATTTTGTGTATAGCAATTTTCACAATACATATCGTTTCAAAGCAGCTTTACAGAAAATGCATGTGATCTGTTATCAGAGTCAATATTTCAGATATGTACAGTTTTAACATACAATACAAAGCACTTAGTGAAGTCTTCATAATTCGCTCGATCCAAACCAGAGCTGACATGCTCTCTAGTTACCATTAGAATTCAGTAGCAATACTTTATAGTTGATACAGAACCAGTGTAGAGATGATTAAATCGGTGTTATATGATCATATTTTCTTGAGTAAGAACTCTAGCGGCTGCATTTTGCACTAACTGTAGCTTGTTTATCGAGGACGAAGGGCCACCCGCTAGTGATGCGTTACAGTAATCTAGTGTAGAGGTCATGAAAGCAGGAACTAGCTTCTCTGCGTCAGAAACAGATGTTTCTGAGGTGGAAGAAGGCTGTTTTTGTAACATATGAAATATGATTATTGAACACCAAGTTGCCGTCTAATTTAACACCCGGGTCTCAAACTGTAGAGGATAAAGTTACAGAACATCCTTCTAAATGCACATTATATTCTTAGAGATTCTGTGTACAGGTTTCTGGTCCAATAAGACCTTAATCTTATCTGAACTTAATAGAATAGCATTACAGGTCATCCAATATTTTATATCTTTAACACACTTTGGGGAATTAATCTGGTCATAACAGTGGAAAATAATTCCATGTTTTCTTATAATATTACCAAGTGGAAGCATATAGCAGAGGGCCCAACACAGAGCCTTGCTGCACTCCTTAATTTACTGACGTTAACTTAGATAATTCCCCGTTTGAATAGACAAAAGAATACTGGTCCGAAAGATACAATCTAAACCAGCTTAATGCCTGTCCATAAATACCAGTATCATTTTGTAGTGTATCTAAGAGTATTTTATGATCTATAGTGTCGAACGCAGCCCTAAGCTCAAGTAAAACTAGTATTGAGATACAGCCTTGGTCAGAAGCTAGAAGTCGTTTGTAATTTTAACGAGTTCAATGCAAGTGCAGTGTTTGTGCTGTAGACATGAAGGATCCATCGGTGTTGTTGAGGAGAGTCCTGCTACTTAATCAAACTGATCAGAAGCATCATGAATAGAAAACGAGTTTAAAAAAGCTCCCACAGATGAACCCGAGACACATCTACAGACCAGAAGATCACTGAGACTCTTTTCTCACCAGACAGGGAAGAAAACGCCTAGCAACCATAGTAACCACCCTAGCAACACCCTGTCAACCACTCAGAACAGCCTAGAGACCCGTCAGAACACCCCAGCAACACCCTGCCATTGTGATGTTGAGCTTCGCCGAGACAGATCTGTGCCGTGACCGTGTTTATGAGCTTTAGGTCAGAGAGGTTTGTCTCGCTCTTCACATTACAACAAAACACACACATCTCTCTGCTGTTACCACAGCAACCCTGTCTAAGTGTTTCCATGGCAACCGGGCACAGGTAACATTTACAAATGGGCTTGTAAAAGTTGACCGGCCAAATTTTCACTGCAATTTCCATGAGAAATGAGGAGAGAGAGAGAGCACAACTGTTTCTGATTGCCATAAATGAGGGCTTTTGTGAAGTTTGCTTGCAGTACGTCCTTAACCATCTTCTCACAGTGCCATCGGTCTGGAACATGAAGATATTCTGCGAGACAAACTCCGAGAGAGAAACCTGTCGTTTCTGGGTAAGCCTCCTGTGTTTAATTTAGACTGCATCTGCTCCCCTGTGTACACTTTTGCTTGCTTGCTTTTATTTAGGGGTCCTATTATGCCCTTTTTCGAAGTCTAGATTTGTTTTTTATGTTTGATTGTTAAAAAAACTAAATTTTCACATATATTACATGATTACTGCTCCTCTCTGCCAACTCTTTTTGAACACATTGTTTTCGATGAAGCCCCTCCCTCCGAAATACAAAATGTGCTGTGATTGGTTAGCTGGCCCAGTGTGTTGTGATTGACAGTGCCTAGCGTGTGTTGGGGAGTGTGTTCATAACCACACGCTCTACTTGGATGCATTTCGAGCCCGATTCAGACCCTGACAATGTTAACGAACAAGAGGATTGTAATTCAAACACTGATTTCACAGGACGTTTCAGAGTGGTATGGGTTTTTTTGTGTGCAATTTTATTTTAGATATGATGTTATCCACCATTTAATCATATTTTTTTTTAATATAACAGTCATTGATCACAAAACCATGGTTTATTTTCCTAAGGGGTGGTGAATAGTCTTACATAAGCTCCAGTGAACACTACATCAATACTGTAATGTTAGCTAGCGGCTCGCGGAGGACAAGCTTTTCCCTCTATCTACATCATAGCTATCGCCAGCGATTTCAACCCGTGTGTCTTTGGTTCACTGCGGCTTTAAGGAGAAAATACTCAGCAACGCTGTCGACTTAAGGCCTGTTCACCCCGGGACGAATTTCGCGCACGATATTCGCCGACGTTTAACGCCTCGTGACTGAACAAAGTGCACCAATGTGGTAAAAATTTTTTTTTAAACGCCTCGGGTTTGTTTTTTTGGTTTGACGCGCCGCGTCAAAAACTGTCCGACCAATGAGATTGGCGCTTTTTGTTAAGTTACATTAAAAAACAACTTAGGATTTAAGAAACGTCTGTTGTGTTTGTTCTTCTGAAAATACAGGTGAAAACATAGTACGCCACAAAAATAATAAATAAAATGCTTTCTTAAAAAGGCAAAAGAAAGCATGCACGTTTTCTTACTATGATGAATAAAAGCAACCAAATGCGGGACATTTTCTCAATATGCGCGGTGCGGGACAAGGGTTCTGACCCGTCTCAGGTGCTTGGGCTCGCGGGTCACATGGCCTGATGAATGCACTCTGAGACAGCTCATTAATTGTCATCAAAGGTGATGTACAGAGATGATCTTCACACCGTGACCTTGTGGACAGACCCTCGCCCTGTGGCGGTTCAGCTCGACTGGACACGGCACGACCCGCTCGCTGGGTTTAATGGAGAAATCAGGTGTTTCACCAGGACTCAAGGACAATGGCTGATACAACACACCCTCCATCAGCGGCCTGACGTTTGTGCAGAGCCAGCAAACATTTCACAGATGAAGCGGCTCTGTTGCAGAGGACTGTGTTTGCGGTGACCGAGGTCATGAAATGAATATATCCATCGCCCGAGTCTTGCTGCTGGGTTTTTTTATGGAAGTCTTTTCAAAGGGGTAATACATTTAATCATAATAAATGTGGCAATACAAATCAGCTAATTGAAAGTTAGCTACATTTGGTGTTTGATCATTGAAAGTGGGTAAAATTCAACAAACTGAAGATGGAGATCCCCGTATCTCTGGGACTGAACCATGTTGGGCCTTAAAAATGAAGATTACAAAGGAAAAGTTTAATAAGAATTAGAATCTATAAGGATGTTAAGATATTTTTAACACTTTTAGAGTTACATGCTCTCAAACTTTGGATGAGGAATATTCATGGCACTCACAATATATCCGGTATTTTCTATGCAATTAGGTTAATAGAAAAAAAAAATATATACATTTCTAGTTTCAACATTATTTGTTGTTCAGATATTCCTCTTTAGAAGAAGAAAGCGTCCACAGTGTGCAAAGCGACACACATTTGGGTTTGGCCACTGAAAATGTGTTGACCGGTTTACTCCCGGAGCCGCATTAAGATCTCCGCATCTCTGGGGTTGAGCCATCGACGGCCTTTAAAATGAACGTACGGAAAGAAAAGTGTATTAAGAATTAGAATCTAGAAGGATGTTAATATATCTCTAAAAACTCTTGAGTTACAGGCATGCAAAAAACGCTGGAGAGCACAGTTCGTTTGAATGCAAAACACATTTTCACCACTAGATGGGAGAAACTCCTACACACCGTCCCTTTAATGACAGTTGTCATACACATGCACAAAACCTCCTTCATATTCAAGACATACTGTAAGTCCTGTCATGATTATGAAGGTGTCATGCCAGTTTTATGCACGTAAAGTAAAGTGTTACAGTGAACGAAATATCAGTGAAACAGATTTCTTTGTAAAGGAGCTCTCACTGAAGGCTGGAGCGGACAAAAACTACACTGACCATGACAACAGATGCACAGTGTGTGTGACATTCACCAAAAAACAGACTTTTCCTATGTTCTGAGGGTCTAAGAGATGGGAAATGGAGTTTAAATGTGTCTTTTCCGTGCAGATGAGAACCAGCTCCGTGCCAAAGGCTACGACAAAACCCCTGACATCATCCTGGAGGTGCCGATCGGTGAGCTCACGTCAGGAGCATGGCTTGTGTTTGTTAGCCTGCTAATCGCTCCCGTGTCTAGTGAGATCTAGTTACAGATGTTGTGTTTCTCCACAGCTGTGGATGGCCACGTCGTTCACTGGATCGAGAGCAAGGCTTCGTTTGGAGACGACCACAGCCATCACGCTTACCTGAACGAGCAGTTCTGGAGCTACTGCAACAGGTCAGACACACACACAGCGTCAGGACACAACACTCAACACACACACATTCTGTTCATCTTGTTCATCGTGTTCATACTGCACTGCATTACACACTATAACTAAAGGTGAAAACATGATTTAACACTGACGAACTGATAAAGCACACATATCAAACAAATACAAGTGCAGACTAGCTGAGAATCCAGACTCCTTTATAACTCATAAAGACCACGCTTCAGTTGTACAGCTGCTGATTTAAAGTAATCTACTGTATAAAGTGCGGTATAAACAAACATTACTGTAGATCTGAGTCTCAGATGTTTCAAACATCCACAGCTCTATGATCAGATGCTTTCTGAACTGCTCTCTGTTTATTCTGTTACTGAGAGGAAAGAGCGGCACATATTTACAGATTCAGTTTTAAATGTTCTGTTGGTTGTATTTTATCCCAGCTTTTATGTAGTGTTAAAAAACAGAAACAGGAAGTGCTTCTGGACCAGTGTTGTTTACATCTTGTGAAATGGTCTATAAGATCTTTGAGTATGTCGGGGCCTAAAAGCTGAACTAGAGCTAAAATATTAAAAAGGAAAATATATATAATAAGTCTAATCTGTCCATCAAATCTAAACTATCAAAGACTTTACATTTTTCATAAGTTTTATTACAATATTAAATGCAGAACTAATCATCTTGCTGTGCAAATGTTGTTTAGAAATCATCGTATAGACACTTTTTAAGACGATCTTTTGCTTTATCAGTGTGCCAGTAAAAGTTTCAGATCTCCAAACATGCAAATATTGTAATAATCCGATCATATTTTTTTTTCTGAGGGATTACACACGTACCTGAAGAGTTTTAATAAATATTCAAGTGTAAACTGACCTGCTGTATCAGTAAATACAAACCACACACTGCTACTATACTCTAGAAGCGCTCGCCGAGGACGAATGAACGTGCTTACAGTATATATAATGAAAACATAAAATACAAACATCTTTTGTCCGTTACGGCCTCTCATGAGAATCACTTTATTTATCTGATGTGATGCGATGCGCTTGAGCGGCTCCATTGCAGTCTTCAGCATGATCCTCACGTGCGTGTGTGTGTGTGTGCAGACGTGACACGGCACATGCTGTCATGTCTGTGCGCTGCCTTGTCAGATAAACTTTGGCATGTCAAAAAAAAAATGTCAGACCCTTCAGAGTCCACCTTTCAGAGCTGCTTGTAATTTTTAATTGACATTTACATTTGACATTTGCGATGGTCTCGGAGCAGAGGAGCGCCCGTGTCCAGCTTCCTGTCGTCGTCTCTCTCTCGGCCAATCACAGGCTCCGGAGGACCGATCCCTTTACTCCACCCCTGCTGTTTATATGAGTTACATCAGGGAAACAGTGAAAAGGTCAGCGAGTTTCCTTCACTGTGACCTTACCAACATTGCCGGCACGTTTTCAATTAGTGCAGCGCATCAGAGTGACACAGCTCCTGATTTGATTATTTTCAAGCGTTTTCATCGTTTGCACCAAACGGCAGTGCGATATATCGTCCGTTATTGTGATATTTGCTGAAGTTAATATGAGCTAGCAGTTTCAGTCGCGCATCACTTACTCACAGGATTCAGAACGGCTTGACTCCATTTCAGCGTGCAAATGATATTTTCTAGATATTTGCCGGAAACCTATTTAAATAAAAGCTTGATGCTATTGAAATATGGTCAGAAATGAAGACATGCCTATTCGAATTGTAATTTTATTTTATTGTATCGCTATTTTGAGTTATATGAGCTATTGTTATATGTCTTAGTACTGCATCATATTAAGCAACTACATGTAATTATGCATAATTTACTGTTATTACTACGGTAAGTACATGTAACGTAACAAGGACACTGTAAAATAAAGTGTTGCACTATTTTTTTTTACCATACAGTAGTTTAATATATCATATTAATCACAATAAAATCATAATAGTAATTTTTATTGTATAGCCTGTGAACAGAAGTAGAAAATGGCAAGAATTAAAAAAAAGCCCTCTCTGTTGCCCTTGAGTTGGCTCTTGTAAACTGTGTTGGTGTTTATTGGAAGCTGCTAAAATATTCACAGAGCAGGAGAAAAACTACAAAAAGAAAAGGAAACAGCAACAATGTGCTAATTTTGGCTAAACCAAATGACCCAAGTTTGCAACCCTGCACAGATTTCAGAACTGAACTCGTATCTATAGGACATGCCAACCTCAGGTACACACTAAAACGTTTGTAACAATCAAATTAAATCATATAAACACCCAACACAACACTTAAACCTTCCAAATAACAAAGAAAGAGTTTAACAACCAATTAAATGGCAAAAAACACTGTTTCAAAACCCCCTGATATCACTCCAACATGGTATCTTCCAAAGGAAGTGATGTGACTGCTGCTTTAATAGACAGTTTATAATGGGTTTGGTTGTAATTTTGCATTTCTTTAAAATTGAGACAAGACCCCTAGAGTTCTCTAGAGCCACGTGAACCTGGTTTCGTACGAGTGTGCTTCTCGTTAATTGCTCCCTGAGAACAAAAGGAAGTGGGAAATGCAGTGTGTTTCACCAAACCACTTCAGAAGTGGGAAGTAGGACATTTCCATACCACATTTCTCCTCATATTGAACCTTTCTAGTGTAAGGAACCCCATTTCTTGTGTACTGTTAATTGTTCCTCGTTCTCCCTGAAAACAAATGGAAGTGAGAAATGCTGTGTGTTCTCACCAAACGACAACTAATTTCCTCTCTGGAACTTGCAGCGACAGCATTCATCATGCAAACACCAGTGTGTCGGAAACGCGGCGCTCGTAATAAACTCTGGCGGTGTGTAATGATGCTTCTCCTATAAAGAGAGGAGCCGTGGGATCTCATGCTAAAGAGCCGTCGGCCTCCGCTTCCCATCAATCTTCAGCGGCTCCGTGACGGATCTGCGCATAATTGAGTTATCCATCTACTCCGATAGAAGTTGCATTAAAAATTATTCAGCTGATAGTGAATATTAAGCACATAATAAGGCTTGTGTATGTTTTAGTTGAAGTGTGTGTCGCGAGTGTGGACTGACGCCTCGTCTAATGGACGACCGTGAGATTAAATATGGCCTTTCATAAGCACTTATATTGAAGAAATAGTTCACACACAAATGACCATTCTGTCATCGTTTGCTCTCGATCCAGGTGAACGCCAAGATGATGAATCAAGGATGTCCACACTCCTCTTTCACAAAAGTGCAATGAACTATTCAATTAAAACCAATCTGAACCAGTCGTTTCCATTCATCCCGAGTGCAGAGTACGTCTCAAAGCTCGTTTGTTTGTCAAAGGATATTGTTCAGTTCCATAGATATGAAGATATTAATGCAGATCCATGTTAAATTTGTTGCCAATGGTCAAAAACCAAATGTGGTTCACTTTGCACACAACTGAGACTTAGTGTGTTTAACGGGTTATCTAGGGTGACCATATTTTGATTACCAAAAACCAGGACACTCGGCCCAGCAAACACATGGGCCAACTCAAATGATACTCGAAGTTTACTCAAAGATACCTTATTAATTTCAATACATTTAAAGTAGTTTATGCCTCCTCTGTATGGAATTGTTATATTGTTATATTGCTATATGAAAACAGTACAGTTGGTCACCCTAGGAATGTCTCAAGAATAAGTACTACTGAAACTAGAGATGTATCTCGTTTTAAAAGAATTGCATGCGACATCTCTCTGGGATTGATCCATATATGAAGATTCCTAAAGAGAAGTTTCATAGGAACAAGAATATGAAGATATCTTTAAGACTTCTTGAGTTACAGACGAGTACACTTCCGATTCGTTTTTGTTATTTGCACATTTAGACAGGGATGTTGTGTGCAATTATTTAGAGGGAAACAGAATACATTTCTAGTTTCATCATTATTTGTTCTTCAGACTTTCAAGTCAAGTCATATTTATTTATATAGCGCTTTTTACAATACACAGTGATAACATAAAAGTAATACAACACAGATCAATAATGTTTCCTCTTTAAACACAATACAAATCAGCTTTTAGAAAAGTTAGATACATTTGGTTTTTGATCTTTGAAAGTGGGTAAAATTGATAAATTTGAACATGGAGCCGCTTTGATCCCCGTATCTCTGGGACTGAACCATTTAGGGCTTTAAAAATGAATATTCCTAAAGAAAAGTTTAATAAGGATATATCTTTTCCGCAGCAGTTTGAATGTTGTGACTGTTGGTCAGTGTGGTCTAGTCCCGCCCCTCCTCCACTGTGATTGGACGGCTGGGTAAGAACTGACAGTGATGAGCGCTGCGTTTTATTCAAAGTTGAACATTTTTCCAGTAAAAAACGCTGGGCGCTTCATCGTGAAAAAAACGCTCAGCGCCTCGGTACGCTCATGGCGTTTAAAAAACGCGGCGCTCCCATTGAAAACAATTGAAAACAAATGCCAGGCGCGTGGAAAAAACTCTTTGGTGGACAGACACACGGCCTAAAGGCCTGTTCACACCGGGACTACATTTAACGCCAAGGAGCTAAACAAAGGGCTCCAATCTGCGTGTGCACACCGACGTAAAAGCGTAATTTAAAGAAAAAACGTTTTTTTAGTTTGACACGCCGCGTCAAAAAGTATCCGACCAATGAGATCGGCACTTTTGCTCACGTGTTTGGAGTTTCTGAAGTTACAGTAAAACACAACTTGGGGGCGCTCAAGCACAAAACGGTCTTGGCGAGCACACGTACGGAACGGAGAAGAAGATCTACGCCAAGTAGCGTCAGAAATAAGACGAGGAAGATGCGAGGCAAGATGAGTGTAGAGCTGCTGGTCTCGTTGAACTATATGACAAACGCGACAGCGACTACAAACATCTTGATGAAAGAGAACTGTATGGAGTGGTGTTGCAGAGCGAATCAGCGCCATCTAATGTCAGGGAATGAATTTGTATGTTCACTCGGCCCATCGTCAGCGAAATCGCTTGGGTGCGAACACAAAAAATACGCTGACGAATAACG